TGTCCTATGGCTTTACCTGCTTCTGGATGAGATGAAAATCCTTGCCATAGGTGTGGAAAGCCTTTTGGAAGGACTCCTGCTCTTCAGGTGTCCATCTGTCCGAGCCTGGCAATAAAAAGCAGCAGGTAAATTGATCCCTCTCTCCGCTTGAAGTAGATCCCATTGGCTGCCGAAACAAAAGCGGCGCCATCCATCCGTCTCGTGTGTACATGTCCGCTCCCTCAGAAGGCAATGAAGACAAGAGCAGGCATTGCCCAGGGAAAAAGTCATGGACAACAAGCTGAAGGAGTAGATGCTGGTGCTTTCCCTGCCCCCAGAGAAGATGAGACCATGTGCTGGTGTTACTTGTTTGAGCAGAAATGCTTGACAGGGCAATTCAGGGGATGGCAGCATCTGTCAGTGAAGGAACAAGTTCTGCTTTGCTTACCTGCGTAGTGATAATCAGCCAAGGGATGGCCTTGAGGTGTTGGAGGCCCCCCCGAGAGCAGCATCTCCAGAGCCTCCTGCAAGATCAAAGGGAAAAAGACTTTAGCTGCCCCACAACAAAAAAAGAGCCAGAAAAATAGAAATGCTGCCTTTCAGCTACTTTGCCTCTTCAGAGTTTCTGGCATCTCATAGGGGTCCAACATTGTGGCTTGCTCCTAGTCCCTCATTTTTGCTGCCCATGCCTTTGATCCCGGTCCCCAGGAGTGGCATTTTGCTGACCAACCCAATTTTGGTTTATGCTCCTCCTGTGCCCAGAATTGCCCCAGCTCATGGAGGCTTCTTGGAATTTCCCCTCTATACACCTCAAAATGTCTTAGAGAACACAGATCTGCAGGAGATTTACAAGGGAGCAGGCTGCGGGACCCTGCGCCGGTGCCTCCAGGAGAGACATTCTCCCTGCTCGAGCCATTTGGAATCACCCCTGATGCAGCTGGAGGAGACACGGCAGGCAGCAAAAGTGCTCTGCCTCTTGTCAACTCCCTTCTTCAAAGAGCAGCCAGGAAAGGCTCTCCCAGTGCCCGGGCCATTTTAATTCCCTGTCCACTCTTCTCTGCAGCCAAACAGCCGCTTCTTACCGGAACGCTGCCGCGTGCCTGGTGCAGGCAGTGCAGGGCGAGCTCCAGCTTAGCTGCTGCCCTGGGAAGGCCACGGGAGCTGGCCATGTCCAACAGTTCTCTCACTGCAAGCACAACAAAAACCCACCGCAAGTCAGGCTTGAGCTGAGGAAAGGGAACGGTTGCCATACAAGGCAGAAGGAAAGCACAATAGCGTGAAAGTGCAGGCTGGAGAGCATGAAAAGGAGAGCAAAGAAAGGGGCAGCTGAACCGGGGGCCCCAGACGTGCTGGCTCTCCCTTCACAGCAGCTTCTGTCATAAGAAGTGGGGGCCAATCTCCCCTCTTCCAGTGGCTAATGCCTCTGACCAATTTGGGGAGCAGGAAGGCTGTTCTTTTTCCTGCTCTGCTGCAAAAGCATCCTCCTTGCCTCTTACACTCCCACGTGGGAAGATGGGCGAGACAAGGAGAGAAGCAGAGCCTGCACACACCCAAGTATCTCAGGGGCGGAAAAAGAGCTTGACAGCTACCTCTGTCTGGTTTTTGCATGTCAGAGTCATCTTCCCCCCAGGGCTTCCAGACCAGGGTTGCAGGCTCTTCATCTTCACTTGGCGGTCTGGTCTGCAGCTCAGGGAGCTCAGCCTGAAAGTCACTGCCAACATTGATGTGCCTAAAGGAAGAAGGAGGTGGTCATAAGAAAGGCAAATGGCCAAGAGACACCTGCCGTGGAACCACAGGCTTCAACCAATCCCAGCCTGACTCTGAAATAGCAGTTCTGCTCCTCGCCATTCCTCAAGTTTGCTGTCCTTTAACCCCTGTGCCAAAACTCACGGCTCAATGTTGGCTCTTGCTTTCCTTTTCCTTGTGCCTCTCCTTTCCATCTGAAAGAGAGCAAAACAATGCTCCAGATAAAAGCCACTCTGCCAAGATGTGTCGCTAGCCTTCCTTCTCCCCCTCATCATTGCAAACCACAAGCTCCTCTGTCCCATCTCCCCTCAGTTTGGTGGAATTGCTGCCTTTTGCACTTGGAATTTCCGAGGCAGGACCCTCCAGCGGTCTGCAGATTCCCCGAGAGGAGAAGCAGAAGGCCACGCACTACTCCCTTCCGTCTTGGCGCCAGTGAGAGGACCCAGGAGAATGGCATGGAAGATGTGCCAGTGGAAATAAGGAAAAGGTTCCTCAGCCAGAGGATGGTTGGCCACTGGGACAGCCTCCCCAGGGAAGGGGTCACAGCACCAAGGCTGAGAGAGCTCAAAAAGAGTTTGGATGCTGCTCTTGGGCACAGGGTGTGATTCTCGAGGCCGTCCTGGGCAGGCCCAGGAGCCGGGCTCAATGACCTTTGTGAGTCCCTTCCAACCCAGAAAACTCTGTGATACTGTCATTGTGTTCTTGAGAAGGACCTCTCCAGATGGCATTCCATGGCTGCCTCTGACCGCGAGGCAGAACCAGACCTACTGGCATTGGAAAACATGGACAAATCTATAGCAATATCTCCATGGAAAAGATATCCAATGGAAGCAGAGGGAAAAAAAATATAAACATATTAAATGATACTGTTTCTGTATATGATGGAAGTATGTAAGTATATAAGACTCGCTGAAAGCAGATCATTTTTGTAGGTGAAAGCCAGTACTGGAGGGCAAGCCCAGTGAACTGCTTCCGTGTCCTGAATGGGAGGGATCTCAGGGGGGAGTTTCCATCAGTCTGGCTTTTAAAGCTTTGGAGGATCTGTGAGCAGAGTAACAGGATTTGTTGACACTGAACCCCTGACTTCCTCAGTAATATTCTGGGGTGACCACAACATAGGTTTAGGACTTTAATGGGCACCAATGACTTTTCCTCAGGCCATCAGTGGATGAGAATCTGCAAGTGCACGGTGACAGCTCTCTACGTCCTCTATGGGAAGGTCTGTATTTTCACTGGAGGCAGCATTATTCCTACAGAAGCTGGGCCCCGCTTTCGTGTGTAACCTTGTCTGGGGAAAGTGAGCACAGAGCATGTCTGTCGTGGTTGGTGGGACAGCCAACTGGATCGTGCTGCCATTCTGTTAGTGCTTTGAAGGCAAACGGGGATTTTCTTACCTTGGACATTCCCAAAGTGCTGTGGGGATGCCTGGCAGCAGACAAGGAGATGAGGATGTCTATGCAGAGGCCAGATCTGGTGCTGAGGCCAGAAGGGGGCTGGTCAGGGACAGCCCCGGAGCAGATCCTGCAGCTGCTGCTCCACCACTGCTCCACCAGTGTTCCACCAACGGCCACAGGAGCAGGAGACAACGACAGTTGCTACGGGCACAGCCCAACATTCCATGCAGAACCCCAGGGGACCCAGGGGACAGAAAGGGGGATGGGCCACCTTTGCCTCTCTTACTTCTTCTGGTGCAAGTTTGCTCTGAGGACCTTCCCACTGGGGCATTTCTCATCAGTCCTCTGGGCGGGGAAAAGCAGAGCAGGGACAGCTCTGGGTCTTCTCCCTGCTTCTCTGTCAGGTGCCTCCAGCTGGACATGCGCAGGAGCCTGGCTCTGTCCAAGGGCCCGTACCACGCTGCCTGCACTGGAGAACCAGAAGGAGTCCTGCTGCCTCTGAACCAGAAGGCTCTCCTCCGGCTCTGGGAGGAGCAAGAGGCTGCCGGTTCAGAGAAGAGAAGAACTTCTCTGAACCAGCTCAGTGGAGAACCAACTCCAAAGCTTTCTCTCCAAGTGGAGGCATTCATCCTGCCTGCTTTCTCAATTGCCTGCTGCCCAAGAATGTCACTGGACGTTTTCTCTCCTTTGGGCTACCGAGCTGCTCTCCTAGCTCAACACTCCTTCCTTGAAACTCGGAGAAACAGGATGTGTCTCTGGGGAACTCATGGAGACACACACAGACACAGGGACAACCCACCAGCATTTCTGCAGCGAACATTAATGAAGGATTTCTATGTCTATCTTCCAGCTGCCTTGAAGAAGCTAGATGTTCATCTCAAAACTCTGGCATTCCTCTAAAACACTAACACGAACAGAACTACTTTTCCACACTAAGGGCCTTGGTGTTTGTTTGAATGCTTAGGTCCCAGCTACGACAAAACCCAGCCGGTTCTAGTGCTTTCCTGCCTAACGTTAAGCAGGAGCCAATCTTGCTTCCTTCCCAGCCTGCGTGTTACACACACAGCAGCAAACTGAGGGGGCAGCTGTAACAAGGCCCACTGCAATGCAGGTACTTTGTAGGCTCCAAATCCCACCAGCTGCCACGGCCTCCATCAGACGAGGGCAAGCTTTGGTCAGCTTCCCAGAACCAGCCTGGCAATTCCCCCTCCCTCAGCCCCTGTCCATCCTCCCCAGCCCCTGCTACCAGAACCTTGCCCGGCAGTGCCCTTTGCTGAGCTGGATAAAGGAGTGAGCTTGATTCTTCTTTGCTGCAAATACCAAAGCTGTTAGAAGTGAGAGGATCCTGTTCACTCCCGCTCTGCTTTAGCTAAGGAGATTGGTGAAGCCCAGAGCGGGAGACTGGTCCTTTAAAGAGAAACTGAAACTGAACTCCTGATGACTTAGTTGTGCATGTGGATATGAATTTTATAGAATCAGAGAGGTTAGGAAAGTCCTTGAAGGTGGTCAAGTCCATCTGTCCCCCGAAATGAAACAAAGTTGTTTTTGTTGCTGGGCAACAGAAAGGACTAAACCCGCTGCTTTTATCCCTCCAAGTAGAGTGAGACAGGACCACTCCTTTAGGTCCAATCCACTGCGTTAAGCAAAGCCTCCCTTTGCACTCGCAGCCGAGATTTTTAGGAATCAAAGGATGAAACCCCACCCTTCTTTCAGTGGCAGTAACGGAGACAGATCTTTGTAAGTCCGCCAGCTGAGCAAGGGGCTGGGCCTGTGGGGGACATCCAAGTGCCCAGATTCTTCTCTCAGGGAAAATGCCCTGTTTGCAACACCGAGCAAATGGAACGAACATTGCTTGAGTGATTTCATGCAGACAAAAAGAGGTCATGGAGCAAACTTTGGTTTAATGATAAAGACAGATTGTGTCTCAACAAAGACAAAAGGGCAAAAGATAGCGAACACCAAACCTCTTGCACTTACTGGTAAATCTAATAATACTAATACATCGTTAATAATACTAATGCATCTTAACTAATAAATGGAGAGATTCCTATCTAGTAAACTAAGTAGAAGAATAAACAACCCTAGAAACTTAACAAACAATCTTATTGCTATCTAGTCCTCTTGACCGCTAACTCTTGCTAGCCCTGGACAGCTGCAGGCCTCATTTGCTCTTTTCTTCTTGGGGAGAGGCTCTGCTTCCTTCCGTGGGCGATGCCTTCTCCTGTGGTTGTTCCTTTCCTTTATGGTTTCAAACACCCTGGAAGAGAGGAGAAAAACCATGCATTGTTAATTTAAGACACCCCATTAAACGAGCGCCGAGGTCTCCGTTTTTCTATGCATTTCTGTCTTTCCAGGCTGTGACACATTTGCAAATGGATCAGCACCATGAGTCTGATCTTTCTTGTCTAGAGTTCCTTCAAATTTCTCCCTCCTTTGCCTTCATCCTAGTTTTAATTGGATCAGCCCCATCAATCCAAGCTTTGATGCATCGACTCCCACTTGTAGGAATTGTGTCTTGTTGGGGCAGGGCAGGGTTTCATTCTGAATGCTGGGTTTTAACTAAGCTGTTTGGGTTTAAAGTGGGTTTGAGCACGGCTGCGAGGGGTGATCCTCCAAGTGCCCTTAGCTTCCCCAGTGGTGCCTTTGAAAGCGGTCAGGCTCTTTTAGTCCAAAGGCGCAGCTTGGAGCAGGAAGAGGAGGAACTTGCGTACCGTTTGCACTGCCCGCAGGGAAAGGGGCCTCTGGCCGAATGGGGTGGCTGCTGCGGCTGGCAGCAGGGACACTCGGCGCTGCGAGCCCTCTTGCGGCTTCTCTTCCCTGGCTCCCCGTCCTCCTTTCTGGGAGGGCTTTTGCTCCTCTTTGCTTTGTCCACAGTCTGCAAATCAAAGAGTCCTTATCAATGTTTCCTGCCTCTCAGAGAGCTGTCAATCAGAGCGTCCAGCAGAAAACTCTATTGGCCTAAGCAAATTCCTCCAAACCCTGAAGAGCTGAGAAAATGGCTGGATTTGGCAGCGGGCTGCCAAGTCAGCGCTTGCAGGAAAATATTCCTCTTTTCTACAGCCCAAAGGGGTGGCATAAAGACATGGGTATCTCTAGTTCTATTGACATTTCTTATTTATACCTCTCTGCCTAACATCTGTTTATCTCTAGTTTTCCTCCACAAATGTCTAGGGAATGGGTCAAAATAAATTCAGTCAAATTAGTGAAGGCACATGGTTACCAATTTTCTACTACCCAAAAGAATCTCTTTCTCTCTCTCTTTCTCTGAACCATATAGCTGTTTGCCGGTAAGGAAAGTTTTAACGGAGCCACAGCATCAGCAACTCCTCCTTGGGGAGTATGCTGGGGTGCTATAAAAGATCCCTGAAAATCTGCAGCACCTCCATGAATGCAGCCCAGATGACTGATGTTAGCAAGCAGTGGGGAATTAAGGATCTGATTGGAATCAGCGAGGGTGCCAGCCCTTGAGAGAGAGTCAAATCTAGAGAGAGTCAAAGCCCATTTTGGTGATGGTGCTGCTTTGTTGGGTCAAAGTTATGCTCTGGGATTTCAGGGCAGCAGCACAATGAAACGCGGGGGCAGCATCTGCTGCACCTTCCCCAGTGCATGGGACAATGTGATCCTGGCAAAGGAGCGTCTCGCATGGCTCACCAGCGGGTTTTGTCCCCTTCTCCCACTTTCTTGACCTTCCTGGCATGTCTCCATCTCCTTCCCGCTCACCTGAGCAAGAGCGCTGGCAACCCTACGCTCTTTTTTCCAGGAATAGTAGTACTCCACACACTGTGCCACGGTCTTACTCTGAATCTGTTGTGAAGAGAAAAAGAAGGACTGTAAAATCCTGTAGGGTGCATTGGAGAAAAAGTAGGATATGGTATAACCTAGGAAGTAAAATCCTGGAGTAAATTGAGTAGGGTGTAAAATGAGATCAATGTGGAGTAAGAGAGGCATTATACAATGTAATAAACCCTGTGTTATGCTACATGGTAACAGATGTAATGTGCAGATCAAAAGCAAATCATCTAGCACAGTTCTTTCCCCATTTCACTCCAGTTATCCCAGCACGGTGTGTTGTGGAAGCACCAGCACACCTATGAGACAACTCTGAGAGAATAAGCCTTCATCTTCCAAAAGAGCTTGGACACAAGGGCAGGAGAGGCAGGATCATCATTTTCATGTAGGCATTCCTTTTCCCATTTCATTACTACTTTAACATTTTTGGTGCTTGAGAAGAGAGAGACTGAGTTCCGGTACTTGGTACCAGAAAGAAGCAACATCTCCTTTTGATGATCTTCTCAAGTAGAAAGAATGTCCTATGGCTTTACCTGCTTCTGGATGAGATGAAAATCCTTGCCATAGGTGTGGAAAGCCTTTTGGAAGGACTCCTGCTCTTCAGGTGTCCATCTGTCCGAGCCTGGCAATAAAAAGCAGCAGGTAAATTGATCCCTCTCTCCGCTTGAAGTAGATCCCATTGGCTGCCGAAACAAAAGCGGCGCCATCCATCCGTCTCGTGTGTACATGTCCGCTCCCTCAGAAGGCAATGAAGACAAGAGCAGGCATTGCCCAGGGAAAAAGTCATGGACAACAAGCTGAAGGAGTAGATGCTGGTGCTTTCCCTGCCCCCAGAGAAGATGAGACCATGTGCTGGTGTTACTTGTTTGAGCAGAAATGCTTGACAGGGCAATTCAGGGGATGGCAGCATCTGTCAGTGAAGGAACAAGTTCTGCTTTGCTTACCTGCGTAGTGATAATCAGCCAAGGGATGGCCTTGAGGTGTTGGAGGCCCCCCCGAGAGCAGCATCTCCAGAGCCTCCTGCAAGATCAAAGGGAAAAAGACTTTAGCTGCCCCACAACAAAAAAAGAGCCAGAAAAATAGAAATGCTGCCTTTCAGCTACTTTGCCTCTTCAGAGTTTCTGGCATCTCATAGGGCTCCAACATTGTGGCTTGCTCCTAGTCCCTCATTTTTGCTGCCCATGCCTTTGATCCCGGTCCCCAGGAGTGGCATTTTGCTGACCAACCCAATTTTGGTTTATGCTCCTCCTGTGCCCAGAATTGCCCCAGCTCATGGAGGCTTCTTGGAATTTCCCCTCTATACACCTCAAAATGTCTTAGAGAACACAGATCTGCAGGAGATTTACAAGGGAGCAGGCTGCGGGACCCTGCGCCGGTGCCTCCAGGAGAGACATTCTCCCTGCTCGAGCCATTTGGAATCACCCCTGATGCAGCTGGAGGAGACACGGCAGGCAGCAAAAGTGCTCTGCCTCTTGTCAACTCCCTTCTTCAAAGAGCAGCCAGGAAAGGCTCTCCCAGTGCCCGGGCCATTTTAATTCCCTGTCCACTCTTCTCTGCAGCCAAACAGCCGCTTCTTACCGGAACGCTGCCGCGTGCCTGGTGCAGGCAGTGCAGGGCGAGCTCCAGCTTAGCTGCTGCCCTGGGAAGGCCACGGGAGCTGGCCATGTCCAACAGTTCTCTCACTGCAAGCACAACAAAAACCCACCGCAAGTCAGGCTTGAGCTGAGGAAAGGGAACGGTTGCCATACAAGGCAGAAGGAAAGCACAATAGCGTGAAAGTGCAGGCTGGAGAGCATGAAAAGGAGAGCAAAGAAAGGGGCAGCTGAACCGGGGGCCCCAGACGTGCTGGCTCTCCCTTCACAGCAGCTTCTGTCATAAGAAGTGGGGGCCAATCTCCCCTCTTCCAGTGGCTAATGCCTCTGACCAATTTGGGGAGCAGGAAGGCTGTTCTTTTTCCTGCTCTGCTGCAAAAGCATCCTCCTTGCCTCTTACACTCCCACGTGGGAAGATGGGCGAGACAAGGAGAGAAGCAGAGCCTGCACACCCCCAAGTATCTCAGGGGCGGAAAAAGAGCTTGACAGCTACCTCTGTCTGGTTTTTGCATGTCAGAGTCATCTTCCCCCCAGGGCTTCCAGACCAGGGTTGCAGGCTCTTCATCTTCACTTGGCGGTCTGGTCTGCAGCTCAGGGAGCTCAGCCTGAAAGTCACTGCCAACATTGATGTGCCTAAAGGAAGAAGGAGGTGGTCATAAGAAAGGCAAATGGCCAAGAGACACCTGCCGTGGAACCACAGGCTTCAACCAATCCCAGCCTGACTCTGAAATAGCAGTTCTGCTCCTCGCCATTCCTCAAGTTTGCTGTCCTTTAACCCCTGTGCCAAAACTCACGGCTCAATGTTGGCTCTTGCTTTCCTTTTCCTTGTGCCTCTCCTTTTCACCTGAAAGAGAGCAAAACAATGCTCCAGATAAAAGCCACTCTGCCAAGATGTGTCGCTAGCCTTCCTTCTCCCCCTCATCATTGCAAACCACAAGCTCCTCTGTCCCATCTCCCCTCAGTTTGGTGGAATTGCTGCCTTTTGCACTTGGAATTTCCGAGGCAGGACCCTCCAGCGGTCTGCAGATTCCCCGAGAGGAGAAGGAGAAGGCGACGCACTACTCCCTTCCGTCTTGGCGCCAGTGAGAGGACCCAGGAGAATGGCATGGAAGATGTGCCAGTGGAAATAAGGAAAAGGTTCCTCAGCCAGAGGATGGTTGGGCACTGGAACTGAAGGCTCTCCTCCGTCTCTCGGAGGAGCAAGAGGCTGCAAATTCAGAGAAGTTTAAGAACTGCTGTGAAGCAACTCAGTGGAGAAACAACTCCAAAGCTTTCTCTCCAAGTGGAGGCGTTCATCCTGCCCGAACCCTTCCTCAATTGGCTGGTTTCCAAGGATATCACTTGGAAACTTGGTCTTGGTTGATTACGGAAAAAAATAAATCTTTGGAGTTTATTCAGAACTTATCTTCACTGTTGGTTCAGAGAAGATATCTCTTCTCTTCTGAACTCTTCTGAACCAAGAGAGAAGAGAAGTTCTGAACTAACTCCAAAGCTCTCTCTCAAAGTGGAGGCATTCATCCTGCCTGCTTTCTCAGTTTGTCAAACTTTCCCACATGAAGTGCAGCCAGAGGATCATCAGGCCTTTTCTTTGCCCTAGGGAGGCCATGATTTGTGTTCCAAGAGCAAGAACCACCACAGAAAACTGTCTACAAGCTTTTTTTGTCATAAAACTCTTAGAGAATAAAAATTATACATTTTGACACTGTCCTGTAATTTTCTGAATTGCTGAGTACAATCAAAATATTCTCCTCAGTGTTGTAGCTCTTGGTGGATTTCCCATGTCACTTTTCCTTACACAATTTATGAGTTATATACTGTTGTTATTATTCCAATAAATAATTGTAAGGAACATGTTTTGTTACTTCAATTTGTTACGGATATGGAGCTTGGCACCCTCACCAAGCCCATTAGTGCAGTAATTACAACCACATCACTGTTGTGTTATTTAAATATAATTTGGGACATCTGAGTGTAATTCAGGGGGTTTAACGGAGTCATAATATTAAGCTGTGGGGTAAGTGTGGAAAACTGCAGACTGCTGATATATTGAAATACCTGAGGAACTTAACTGCCACCCACATTGTTGCTGGCATGCAAGGGTGCAGCAGGAAGACAGAGATCACCTGGGGAGGCATGTTTCCATCCTTGGACAGGCGCTCAGGATTTGCAGGGGTGTTTTTTGTATCCCACTGTCTACAGTGACAGCTCCTGAGTGTTAATGCTTCTCATGTCATGCATCATAACAAAAAAAAGGGGACAAGGAGGGGGTGACTGGGCATTGGCCATCCAAGGACTTTTAAGTCCTTTGCAAACAATTCTTAAGTTCTTAGGAATTGTTTCCTCATTACATAAAATAAAAATGATAATATAAGCAACTACACTAAATTTCTCTGAGCACAATGTAATTCAGAGTGATCAGAGCAGGAATCCTTAGCGTTCCAATTCCTTGTCTTTGTTTTTATAAACTGAGCTTGCTATTGGCTAGAACTATTTTTCAGTCCTAATTCACAGCTAAAAGCTAGTAACAAAATCCAGAAACAGTAACATTATATGTAAGAAAAAGACATGGACATTTGTTATACTTACAACATTTTTAATTAGAAAGCCATTTTGGATCGTTGTATGGGGACATAGAATAAGGCAGAGGGGTTTACCCACTGGAATCAGCAATTAGATTTCCTTATATTTTTATGAATTTATGGTTGTCATACAATATACATAATAAATTTGGGAAGGATTATAGAATATAGGCTTTTCCTGCAATAAGCAAATTAATTAAAACACTCTAAGTCACATACAGCATTTGTTTAAAACAGTAAAGGATGACAGATATCTTTAAAAGTATATAGATAATAGATGTTTTGGCACTAATGTTGCAAAGGAGGACCTGTTTCAATGGTATATGGAATGGCAATCACTTCCTCTTTTGTAAATGTGAAAATGTTATTACCAGTGAAAATACCTGGGGAATTCTTCAACTTCAAATGTATAGTAGGACTACAATTATCTTTTTTTGAATCTGTTAATCTACAGAATCTTGAATAACTCTATAAAAATAATTAAACAATTCCTAAATGTTAATTTGTTAGTTAGTACACAAAATAGAACACTTGTTTATCCTACACTTCTGTTATAGAACAAACAAGGACAACGCTGTCAAAAAATTCTTGTAGGAAATACTTCAGAAACACTGATGGAATGGATTTTACTGACCTCAATCTTGTAATGTAGCTGGGTCAAAATATTCAGTTTATTTGCTCACCAATTCTTGCAAGCATCAACAACCTCTAGAATTTAAAAGCACAAGTGGCAGTCTATGGCACATTGGGCAATATACAATTAACCAATATAAATGCGGTGCATAGAAACATACACACATTTACACAGAGAGAGAGAGGAAATAATGTTTTCACTCAGGCTCAAATTAAACATTGCTCAAATCTTAAAACAAGAGTAAGTATTTATGGCATACAACATTGGGAATTATTTTATTTTTAACAGACATATTTAAAGATAACTATCTGTGATAGGAGTTTTTAAAAATAGTCACTTATAAAAAGTTTATAGAAGCAGTCAATCATTAGAAAGCAACCTGATAAAACTATTTACCTTATGACATGTCATACAAACATCTTCAATCTTCAAAGGCAATGGGAATTGTTTTGCTATGTATTATTTCAATGCTATGTTTTAAAAGGCAAAATTCAAAGTCTCTAAATTTATTGAGTATGGATTGCAAATATGAACCAACAGCAAAAAATCAGAATGAGCTAATGCAGACCACAACTGTGACATGAAAATTAATCAAGCAACACAAATTCAGTACTATCTGTTTTATGCAACATTTTAATTTTTATAAAAATTCTCCAGTACTGTTGTCCCATATGTCAATGTGAAATGTAAGATTACATTTATACCCCACTTTTTACGGGACATATTGGAGAAGGGAGAGCTCATGTAGTGCTGTAAAACTGAAGTGGAAATGAATTTAGCAACAGCATTCTGGGAAGAGATGTGCAATGAAAAATGGATTAGTCTGGGAAAGGTTGTTACAGTAAATGAGACATGAAATGATGAAAGCCTTGCTGAGGGTTTTTAGGTATTAGGTGGATAAGAAAAGAGGCCACTATGACTGTGTATTTCTAACATTTTTACTTAACTTTCTTTCATTGCAAATGCTTGACAGAATCATTACCAAGCTTATCGTTTGGATAGGACATCTAAATGAAGCAGCATTGTTTTTAAACATATCCCAGACAGTTACTAAGAGGATGGAGTACTTTTGTTGTATTTTTCACATCAATTTTAATCTGAATTTAAATACCAAATTTATTATTTTTCTGTCTGCATTTTCTCAGCTTTTCTGTGATGCTCTAATAAATGTCCTTTCACAAAAATATGAAGGATGTTATTTGGTTGCTAAATATTACTCAAATGTTAAGTACATGTGCATGAAGCAGAAAGTATACAGCATCCTTAAACTGATATTACAAATATTGCAAATCAAAGAAGAAATGTTTTACAATGAAATTACCCTTTGGAATAGAAATTCCAATAGCATTCAAAATTCTGCACTTTATGTTCTGTATCACTTTTCGGTTCTTTATTATTCATAATTTCACTGATTTAAAATATGGGTTTTCTTCCATATACAGTTATGGAAGTTAAACAGCATGAAAAAATAAGTGATTTTTAGTTACAGTCATAGTTTGTATCAAAAAATATTAACTCTTTTGAGTCCAAGAATAAACTTTATACTTTTTCTAAGAGATGTTTAAGAGGCCAGGCTGGTTTCAAAGTAAGTTTCTTTCCAATAATTGGAATATATAACTTCTGGTGATTTTTTTTTTTAATTAAGCATAATAGAAGTGGCACCTTATGTATGAAACCAGACACACCTACCAAAAGCTAACATTAAAAAAAATGGAAAAGACTTTAGGCCTTCAAGGCAAATGTGTTTTGAGAAGAAAAAGAATAGTTTATTATACTATCTTTTCCTGGCCACTTATGACTATTTAGACAATGTTGGTAACCTTAAGATGTTAATAATCTAAGATATTAATAATACACTAGTAAATAAAAAATCAAATCTTAATTTCTGCTAAAAATGCCATGGCACTTATCAAAGAAAGCTATTTAGCAATTTTTAATATCTTTTTATGAGCTGTACTCCAGCACTTTCAGTGGTTTGAGAAGTTTACAGATATTTCAGTGTTCTATTACAGATTCATAAGTCCTTAATTAATATGTCTTTTACTATAAGAGAGATGGACTTTTCTAAGGGGAAAACTTGTTTTGGATTGATTCACAGTATTTTGGTAGCACACACATACTTCTAAAAGTTTTTCATTCTATGAGGACACAAGCTGGAGCAGAGTACTCTGCATGCACTACAGCTATACCACACATAAATAATGGTACCTTATGATATTTGAAATAATTTCGCAACTCAGCTTAATAGAGCTGTACTAAGTATATCCTCTATCCATAACTCTTTATCCACATAAATGCTGATAGTATAATCTATTTCATCCTTATGGAAAGACAGAAAAAAGGATATCTTTGGCAAAACCTTGACTTTGTCAGTGGCCAGTCTTTTTCATCATGAACCTGCGTGTTTTCACTCCAACACTTCAGATCTCTGTTTACTAAAATGGTGATTTACCATTTACAGCTTCTAGGTTATTCTAAGTTTTGAGTTTTCAAGTATGGGCTAAAGCTTGCTGCCCATTTGTACTCCGGTTTTTCACAGGGAATAGTGATTCCACTTTAGCATGCTTACCAACAGTTCAGCATTGATGCCATGGCCTTTAATGTCAATCACTTTTGTGAAGTTCTTGATTTCTTTACCTATTCATTCAGATCATGTTAAAGTTTATCAGCATATAGAAATGTTTTTTGTGTCATTTTTACTTATCTTATCATAGACATAAAAGGCTGCATAACCAATAAAGATAATGGGTTGGAATGGAGATTAATGGACATCCTTAGCTAATTCTGCAATTT